TCCACGAGCGGCGCGCGGTGACAGCCGGGCCGGCGGCCCGCGGACCGGAGGGAGAGGGAGGGGGCGGGAGAGGGAGGAGACAGGCGGAGGGAGGCGGAGGAGGGACGGGAGGGGGAGGGCGAGGGCCGCGGCGGGGGCGCGCGTGCGTCCTTGGCGCTGTGTGCGCACGCCGGGAAGTTCACATGTGCACAACCAGCCGGAGATGCAAGCAGCCCGTGCGCTCAGAACAAAGCAGTTTACAGGAAAGCGGGTGTTGAGCTTAGTGTCAGCGCGTTCCGGGCGGGCGCTGGTGACAGCGCGGAGGTTGGCACCGCTGGGGTCACTGCAGGCTTCCCTGCCGGTCAGTGCGGGGCTTTACCCGGACTCTTGCATAATTTGCTTTAGGATCTACTAAAAGATTCCCCTCTTGCTGGGCAACGTGAGGAACGATGGCGCGAGAAGGGGCTTGCACGACCAGAGGCCGAGGTGAAACGAAAGTGCACTGTCTAAATCCCTCTGGAGATGCCGCTAACAAAGATCGGGTGGGACTGGGAGAGCGCAGGGTGGCCGGGGAGGTTGAGCCCTACCCTATTCCTCCTGGACAAGCCTCGAGCTCCTTTCTTTGAGTAACTCAGTATAAAGGTGTCTGCTCATTTCTGCCCATCTAGCAACCCAGAGGAGCGAGCTGCAGCGGCCCAAATCGACCACGGAACGCGCCAGTGCAAACCAGGGCAGACAATGGCTGGAAGGGCAGGAAGCTTGAACCCACACTACACCTTTCCTGTAGCCTTCAATTGTGTTTGGCTGGCAGTTTAATAATTTCAAATTTTGCTTCTTGCAAGAACGCCGGAAAGTTTGCCGCCTTGACGACCCAGAATTTTGTTAGAATCTCAGAGTTTTCACGTGGCACTAGGGATTTAGAGATCATCTCGAGTGACCTTTCTACTTAGCAGAGGAGAGAAAGGCCCAGGGAGCCTGTGTCCCTCCCTCGGCGCGGGGGCTGAGTTGGCCTCTGCCGTGCTATTCCCTAACCTCCTCACTATTTTACCCGATCCCTCCGGGGCCACCGTCACGCGGAACTGGCGCCCTGGGGAGGCCCCGGGTTTGACCTTTACTGACTCCCAGGGAGGGTGAGACTGCTCGACTTCGCCTCTTCGCATATCAGCGCAGCCCGGAAAGGAAGGAGCTATAGACAGCGGTGACCTCGGGTTTTAAAACCAACACCGCCCTCTAGTGAGAGCCCGGGAACTACACCCGCAGTGCGAAGAGTTCCTTCTCCACGTGTAAAAGGCAAAGTTCAGTCTATAACCAACAGACTAAAGAAGGGAAAAAAACAATGTGTGTGTGTATGGGGTGTGAGGAACTCTCAGGAATTTTATATAAGAGATATCTGTCCTGTTAGCCTCGCAAACACAGCTAATTTCAGGCTATTTTTCTTTGATATTGAGCTATGATTACACTGGACTTTTATCTTTCACAGTTTTCACAGTTTTGCTTTTATTATTCTACTAAAAATTCCACTCCTGGGTTAGCCCCTAAGAAATGTAAAGCTACAGTCATTACTTTGTTCTATGCTATTCAGTGTGTGCCAGGGTTTCCCAGCCTGCAAGCCTGGGCATCATTTTGAAATCATTACTCGCATCACCTCCCAACACTTAGGGTCACTGATCTTCAAATAAGGAGAGATCAGTAAGTACAGCGTACAGTTTGAAAGATTCTCTCTCTCTCTCTCTCTCTCTCTCTCTCTCTCGCTCGCTCGCTCGCTTGCTCTCTCTCCTCAAGATCCCTTGTCTGAGTGTCCGTGCACACAGGTTGCTGTGTATTTCACTCTGCTTTGAAAAAACAGTTGAGCTTTGATCTAGAAAGCCTCCTGTTCCTGTGTCTTCTAATATATCTGCAGGCTTCCCCCGGCACTCACATGCACCATGAAAAAACATTTAAAAAGAAAAAAACCACTTTCCTGTGCACCTGGGCCTGGTCAAGGAGAGATTCTGCTCTGTGGCACTACTTCAAAGACTGAGAGGAGCAGCAGGTTTGGTTAAGCTAGCAGTGGTGACCTCATTGCTACCCCTCCTAATGGTCCCCTTTCCAAGTCCCTGTCACTCACAGCTCCTGCCTCCTGTCCTCTCATGCAATCTCTGGCAGTCACTGGGTTGGCAGATTGAAGCTGGGAGTGTGCGGAGGTGGAGGAGGTGGTGGCGAAGAGGGAGAGAGCTGGCAATTCAAATGGCACCACCTCCAGAGGCCTTCTCTGACCAAAACTCCAGGTTCCTCCTTTAACACCCCACACACAGCATGACATTATTCTGCTGTCTTTTCTTATGGGATTTTATCATCATTCTATGAATGAACTGTCCTGCCTTTGGAAATGTTTAGCAAATATTCTATCACAGCAATTCCCTATTTCTGCCTCATTAAAAAGCAGGGAGTCATTTTCATGTGCAGGAGGACCATTTCAATGCCTTTCACTGATGTATCATCCAGAACCATGCCTGGCACAGAGCAGGAATTCCATAATATTTTTGGAAAGGCCTCAGTAGTCTTCCAGCTAGATACAACAATCACTCCGATAAAGCAGTCTGTCTGGGACCAGTGAGATAGTTCAGCCCTCTAAAGCGCCTGCTTAGGCAAGCTTAGGAAGGCGCAGGGGACCATAGTTCAATCCCTGGCACCACATGCCACACCAGCCCCACCCTCAGGGTGGGCTGAGCCAGCCAAAAGCAAAAAAATAGTTTGTCATCTCCTACAAGGTAAAACAACCCTCCATGCATCCTAGAATTCCATTCTAGAGCAGAAATCGGAGCAGATCTAGAGCAAGAGCCGCAGAACTCAAGGCACTTCCAAAGTGGGAGTAACTCGCAATCTGGACATAGACAAACAGATTACAGATAGGAACCCAGCAAGGTCTAGCGAACTTGAAAGAACCCAGCCCCAAATAAATGGACTGTCAATGTGGTCCTTCCAGTTTAAGAAGTCACCGCAGGATCCTTGGCTAAAGAAAACACTAGTGAAAACAAGATTCCCCAAATCCTATCAGCAGAGGGGGAGAGTCATTGTGAATCCTCTATGCTGTACACCTCTACCCCAACACTTTGCAGGTAGAGAAACGAAAGGTCAAAAGTTTCCAGTAGCTTGCTCAAAGTTAGAGCCAACAAAGAAGGGATGGAACCAGTATTTGAGCCCCAGTAGGTGACTTCGAAGCCTGTGGTCTTCCTGCCACGTGAAGTTTGCAGCAGAACATGCCCTGTGCATGTGTCCTGGAGGCAGGAAAAGCCCTCTGTCAGCCTCAGACCCTTGCATTCGTCACCAGAGCCTCTGCTCTTAGCATCGGCTTGGGGAGCTACAGCATGATCTGGCATGTCCCCAGGGCTCTGCATCCAAGGCCAAGTCTTCCACCTGAAGCTCCCAGGAGTGTATGACCTTTGAGAGGCCATTCAGGTGGCAGGTCAGCCACCGTGGGGCTGAGCCCTCCCGGGGAACTGTGGAGACCTTGCCTGTCTGCTGCCCCATGCCCGCAGTCACTCCTAGTGGCCCAACCAGTCCACAGCTGAACCTCCAAACCTGGGAGCCACAGTGAACCTTTCTTCTTCCCAAGTTAGTCTCTGATGTTTGCTTCTCCAGGAATGGAAGGCCAACTAACATAGTGCATCTGTCACCAGCGTGGACCATGAGTGTGGCTGACTTGCTAGCACCCACACACCAGAAAATATTTTTATATTAAGGCCATTTCTCCTGGGAGCTCAAGGGTGCACTGAGGGTGGCCAAAGGTAGCTGCAGCATTTTTGGTTGAGTCCCATGTAGTTTGTGCTGAGTCATAACCCTATCTAATACATATTATAACTTTTCAATTTGCTATTTCTTTTCTGGGGGGGCAGAACCGGGGATTGAACTCAGGCCCTTGCACTTGCCAGGCAAGCGCTTATTCTATTGAGCTATCTCCCTGGCCCCAAAATTTTTTTTTTTATTTATTTATTTTTGGTGGAACTGGGGATTGAACTCAGGCCCTTGCACTTGCCAGGTCAATTTGCTATTTCAAAAAATAGAATTTGTAGGGTAATTTGTAGTATAAATATTATAGTATATACTTATAAAGTCAATAAAAAATAAAACTTGAACACACTCTGCTAAAATTCAAAGCTTTTTCTTGAAAAAAGAAAAAGTCTTTATCTCTCTGATTAGAAATTAAGTATAGGGACCAGGGAGATAGCTCAGTGGAATAAGCACTTGCCTGGCAAACGAAAGGACCTGAGTTCAATCCCTGGTTCCGGAAAAAAAAAAGAAATTAAGTATAAAACTTCAGCAACTAAAATTTCAGTAATTAAAATATAACAGTAAATTAACCTTACTTGAAAGTACAAGTAAACTCCAGTCCATTATAAGAGTCCTACAGAAATGAAAAAAGACGCATTGCAATAGGTGCAGGTTCTCCAGTTTAGTAAGGCTTGAAGGTATGGAAGAGGGGTGGGTGTAATGTGCTTAATCAGAGCCAGCACGCTGCACTTGTTTCCAACAGGCGGACACAGGAAGGATTACTTCCCGGAGACCATCAGGAGTCCAGGGCATTCACGGGGCACCGTCGGTCTGTGCACCTCAAATGCCTTTTGAGACTAGTTCCAGTGTTAATGGGTGTTCTGCGCATTAACCGGCCCTAACGTGGATCCCAAAGTTGGGGCCCATGTCATTGTGACACAGTCCTGTGTGGCAAGAGCCACAGAGCACCTCTGAGAAGTGTCACGGAAATGTGTTCATCAGGCCCTGGGAGACTCGGTT